GTAAAAACAACGCTGGCTTGCTCCATTTTGCATTTTTGGAGGAGAAAAGTAATATGATAATTTAATACTTTTGAGTTCATTCATGAACTAATTGACTTAATCACAATATCACAAGAAGATTATGGTATTTATAGTTATATTAAAGTGCTATGGTATATTTTTTTGTGACTGAAAAATATTATTTTACAAAAAATAGATTCAAATTCAATTAACATTTGATATTTTGAATGAATCATATATTATTATTATTTACACTTAAATAATAGCTCATTTTTATTCATGCGCATTTTTTGTTTAATATTGGATTTTGAAATGATTTATAAATTTTTATGTGATTATTCCAAATTCATGATTTTAATTAATTAATTTCTCAAATTTTAAAAATACCTATTTTAGGTTTAGTCAAGAAGTATGAATTTTAAATATGTTCAACATCGAGCATTATGTTTTTTGAGTTGATTATGCAAATATCAGGCACTATCATTTTTTGTGGTGAGAATGTTAACATCATGCTTGATCTTACTTGAGTAGTAACATGATTCTTTGCTGAATTACCTAATACTTGATAAATACAACTGCATCAGTTCATGAACAATCCATGTATGCTAAATTTTTTTCTCAAGGTTGTTTTTTTTTCTTTATATTTTCACTATGTTTTCACTTTTAGATAGTATACTCATTGCATGTTTCTCTTGCGAGAGAACTACAATATGAAGCAGATTTGTTGTGATAAATTATCCACTTTTTAAATCCTTTATGGAATTTTGAATTCAAGTTTCTTTTAATCGTTTAGATATATATAAAAGAGATCGCGAGACGTATTTAATACTGCTATGTAATAAGACTATTGCAATCAAAAAATATAGTTTACCTAAGAAAAAATTTGGAAGTGCAAAAAAAATTACCTTATCTATATTTTCTCATCTTTGGCGTTTTTTGTTTATGGTATTGATTTGTAGCCTATACCTATCTTTTAATTATGTCTTGCTGTTAAGCATAGTATAACAATACATATAATTTGGATAGCTTTGCATATTAAAAAATCCCTTTGCATGACTTTGATGACAGATTCAGTTGCTTCATATTTCAAATGAACATGAACAAATCTATACAATAGAATATTGAATACAACTTTTTCTTTTACTCCTCTGCAAAAATCAATAGATATATTTTGCTCATCAGTGACAAATGGTTATATTTCTTCGAAGATGGTGTGTTTGGACAGAAACATGAGAGATGTGAAGAATCACATGTTTGCTTCCAAATATCCAAGAGGTTCAATGCATCTCCATCCAACATGAAGTAAAACTATACAAGCAAAACCTTTGTTTAGAAAAAGCTTCACATTAGATTTTAGAGTAAAAAAGCCCTCTATGAATGTGAGACTTGGAACTATTGACATGAACGTAAACCAACTTTTGAGTAGACCTTCAAATCAAGGTGTCTAAGGTCAATTGGACGGATATGTGGTTGATTCCAATAAAACAAAGTCGTACCTGAACTTTGTTTTATAGGAGACAAACTAACTTCACGGTGGGAAAGAGCTTTCCACATATATATTTGTGGAATTGTTTCCAACACTTAGAATATCGTTTCAGTCCTTTCGAACTGCACGTGAGAATGATGTCGTAGAAAGAGCATGTAATGAAAACGCAAACGCGAACTTCTATGTGATTAAAGTTATACACTTCCTTTTTTAACAATACATGATAGCTTCTTGGGAAGAGAAAACCGATCAGGTTTTCTATGCGTAAACAATTTTGGTTATTTCTGTTTTGTCTGGTCAGAATCGGTCCTCATGGTAGAAACTTCTTCTATACCTATTTCTTGGTGCTGGGAGTTACGGAAAGCTATCAACATTTGAGCTCTCTCCACCCGGTGCAGAGAGTCACGAAGAGGTATCTACACGAGCATCAACATTTGAGCTCTACCCACCAAGTGAAGAGAGTCACTAAGAGGTATCTACACAAGAATCAACATTTGAGCTCTCCCCACCAGGTGCAGAGAGTCACGAAGACGTATCTATACGAGCATCAAGATTTGAGGTCTCCCCACCCGGTGTTGAGAGTCACGAAGAGGTATATAAATGAGCATCGGCATTTGAGATCTCCCCACCAGGTGCTGAGAGCTACGCAGAGATGTCTACACGAGCATCAACATTTGAGCTCTCTTCACCATATGTTGAGAGTCACGAAGAGGTACCTACACCAACATCAATATTTGACCTCTTTTCACCAGGTGCTGAAAGTCACGAAGACGTATCTACACGAGCATCATTATTTGAGGTCTTCCCATCAGGTGCTGAAAGCTACGCAGAGGTATCTACACCAACATCAACATTTGAGCTCTTCCCACCAAGTGCAGAGAGTCTAGAAGACGTATCTACACCAGCATCAACATTTGAGGTCTTCCCACTAGGTGCTGAGAGTCACGAAGACGTATTTACACAAGCATCAATATTTGAAACCTCCCCACCAGGTGCTGAAAATCACGAAGACGTATCTACACGAGCATCAACATTTGAGCTCTCCCCACTAGATGCTGAGATTCACCAAGAGGTATATAAACGAGCATCAACATTTGAGGTCTTTCCACAAAGTGTTGAGAGTCACGAAGAGTTATCTACACCACCATCAATATTAAAGCTCTCTCCATCAGGTGCTGAGAGTCACGAAGAGGTATGTACATGAGCATCAAGATTTGAGCTCTCCACACCATATGATGAGAGCTACGCTTAGGTATCTACACCAACATCAACATTTGATCTCTCCCCACCAAGTGGTGAGTCGAGAAGAGATATCTACACGAGCATCAAGATTTGAGCTCTCATGTAACCATCTTTAGTTAGTAAGAACTAAAGTAGAGGTTACTCTAAATGTTCATATAGATACTTTAGAGTACACTAGTCATACCTGCCACGTCAGCTATCCGCGCGCTTGGTAGGTAGAGAATAGATGTGCTAGTTGACAACGCCACGTCAACGATCCGTGTGCTTGTTAGGTAAAGATTGAATGTGTTAGTTGGGAGCGCCACGTCAGCGATCCATGTGCTTGTTAGGATTATCCGCCACATCATCCATCCACTATGAGTGAGATGGATGGTGGAGATAAGATCTTATCTCCTTGTACTTGTTGGTGAGAACTATACAAGGGAGAGTAGAACCAATGTTGATATCTCTCATCTTCAGAGTTTACGTTTCTATCTTCGAGTGAGCTTTTCTCTAAACCCTAATGTTACATCTCCCCACCAGCTTTGAGAGTTATGGAGAGGTATCTACACTAGCATCAAGATTTGAGCTCTCCCTACCAGGTGCTGAGAGTCACGAAGAGTTATCTACACAAGCATCAACATTTGAGCTCTCCCCACGAGGTGCTGAGAATGACGGAGAGGTATCTACACCAACATCAACATTTGAGGTGCTGAGAATGACGGAGAGGTATCTACACCAACATCAACATTTGAGCTCTCCATACCAGGTGTTGAGATTCAAGAAGAATTATCTACACGAGCATCAACATTTGAGCTCTCTCCACCAGGTGCAGAGAGTCACGAAGGCGTATCTATAGGCGTATCAACATTTGAGCTCTCCCCACCATGCGCTGAGAGTCATGAAGAGTTATCTACACGAGCATCAACATTTGAGCTCTTCCCACCAGGTGCTGAGAGTCACGAAGAGGTATCTACACGAGCATTAACATTAGAGTCCTTTCCACCTGGTGCTGAGAGTCACGAAGAGGTATCTACACGAGCATTAACATTTGAGGTCTCTCCACAAGGTGCTGAGAGTTACGCAGAGGTATCTACACGAGCATCAACATTTGCGCCCTCTCCATTTATTCAAAATTCAAAATCAAAATTGTCACCTGGTGCGAGGAGTTAAAATATACACTATCATCAACATGTGCTCTCTTTCCACAGCTTTCAAAATTGAACTCGCCACCTAGTTTTGGGTCTTACGGAGCCACAGGAGCCGGGAGTTATGGAGAGTGATGTACACCATCATCAACATCTGCTCTCTTCCCACCACTTTCAAGATCGAATTCGCCCAAGGTGCTGGGAGTTATGAAGAGGAATCTACACCATGGTGAACATTTGCTCTCTTTCCACTGCTTTCAAAATTGAACTCACCACCCGTGGTGAGAGTTACGGAGAGTGATCTACATCAACATATGCTCTCTCCCACCACCTTCAAAATCAAAATCGCCACCAAGTGCTAGTAGTTACGAAGAGTGGTGGGAGAGAGTTGATGGTGATGTCGATCCCTCTCCGTAACTCACCGCACCTGATGAAGATTTATATGCTGAAGGTGGTGGGGAGAGAGCAAGTGTTGATGGTGGTGTAAATACTTCTTACCAAGTCTTCACCTCACATCCATGACAAGCTTTATTTTTCAACTAGTTGAGTCTGATATCCATCTGTGTTAAGATGTAGAAATCTACTTTCCTTTTGGCAACTATCCAGAGACTGATGCACACTATTCCCCTTTCGCCGAGGACGATAAAGCAACTAGGATCCCGCTCACACAGAAACATTCTTACCAAGTCTTCACCTCACATCCATGACAAGCTTTATTTTTCAACCAGTTCAGTCTGATATCCATCTGTGTTAAGATGTAGAAATCTACTTTCCTTTTGGCAACCATCCAGAGACTGATGCACACTATTCCCCTTTCGCCGAGGACGATAAAGCAACTAGGATCCCGCCCACACAGAAACATATGCTTTCGGTTTGTGTCGCGCTAGTTGAGGTTCATGTTTCGGAGACTGAAACTGGATCGTAACCTTCTGTGAACCGCTAGACCTCGGCGCAAGGTCAATTGCGTGAATCTTATAGGCTCCGATTCTGCGGCATAATTATTTCACCATCTTTGATCTGATCGCTGAACGTTACTTCTTGATCAGCTGGGCACTTTCTTCATTTGTCACCGGCGTCTTTCGGGGGAATCGGCTCTTGTCGGTACAACGAAGCGCGGTGATACATGCAGGAACGGGCTGTATTTGTGGGAACTGACGAAACGCTTTTTGTGCCAACTATGCACTAAAGCCTCACAAATGTTTATTCATTTGATGACGAGGAACAATTGCATTACACCCGAATCATTTTCAACTTATCATTCGTCTAAGAGGTTTTTACACCTGGGATCTTCTGACAGAACTCGTCCTTTGAGAAAATTTTTGCCGTATGTAAGTTTACTGCATACAGCGTGTCTACTTTGTCCCTTAGACAAACTCCCTACTTTGACTGTGATACAGACATCGATAATTTCGTAGGTTACAGCGTTCCATCAGTTCAAACACCGGACTTCATCGTCGAGGCAGCAAGTTCTTCAAGCATCTCCTTTTGTTCGAGTGCTGTGCATGACTGTACAAGATTTCGAAATAGAGACATGAGAATCAAACATCAAGTCAAATTGAAGATGCCTACACAAAACCTGAACGACATATTTTGTTCGCTAAATGTAATCAGTCAGGGAATTATTATGTTGCATGATCATTTGAACTAGCTAGTAAGTGACTGAAGGCGAGAGACACTGATTCCGATGCGAAATCCGAGATCTTTTGATCCTGTCTCCTAAATGTTTATTTGGGGGACAGGCTCGAAAGATTGAGGTCCATCACTACTCCTTATAACATTCAAAGCAGAACTGAAAAATCTCAAGTATCGACCTAAAGAGTACTGAGGAGCTACCTGGATTGCACCGTCGATATCACCGCCCAGAAATGACATAAGGTCATAATTAATTTTCACTCGATGATCTGATACCCGATTGTCCTGATCATCACGAACGCACAAGTCAGCTTAGAAGCTTGCTAACTGACATGGAGGATCAGCTAAATATAAACCAATGAACAAATATTTATTCTTATTTTGGCACAACGAGTGCACGTACTCGATTCGAGCGGCCGGATAATGGCTGAAGTTAACTAATCTTAATTATATAGTAGTTTCTTTAATTTTAGACGTCGATGATAAATTCGATAGATGAAGCGAACCTTGTAATTGTAGGTACGTATTTTTTCAGACCTTGCACCAGTTCCAACCTGCAAGAACGGCAAAAGGAATAAACATACCACCGACTGAAAAACCCTGGCGAATCTGCACGGTAGCACTTTGTTCTTCAAGTTGCTTTTAATCTCTTCTGTATAAAGCAAAAATTTTGCCTCACGCTCCACATCATATTACCTGAGACTTCCGCTGATTGCTGATACTATCTTGTTGCTCCCTTAATTTGATTTCATACCTTCAAATCAACAAGAACCGACAGTATCAATGGCACAAAGTCTTTAATTCAGGAGAGGTATACAGCTTCGTTCATGTTGAACTCACTGACAAATACTAGCGTGCTGGCCATCCACACTCGACCAAAAATCCTCGTCGAATTACTAGCATCACTCCAGATTGTCCGCGAGCTATAAACATGATGCATTTGTGGTCGTTCTACCTAGGAAAACATCCACACTGTCGAAATGACAATTCTAAGACTGCTAAAAGAGAGAACAAATTACAAAATAATGTTACAACGTACAACTTGGCACGAAGTAGTTGCATGGCACGAATTTTGTTCTTCAACTGCGAGCGCTCCTCCGTGCAGAATATTCGTATGCCGGTAGGCTTATGAATTAAATCCACAGCTGTCTCCACTTTGTTCACGTTCTGGCCTGCATGGTCGAATGATATGAACTTTCCCTTCTTCATCAAGTAACAAACACATGATCCTTCACTGAAATCCAGCAACGTCCCTACTTTTTGACTTGCCAAAAATGTTTCTTCTTCACACTGAGTAAATTTGCGACTTATCGAAACTAAGGAGATATTACCTCCTGCGCCACCAGATCTGGCAGTCGTCAGTTCGATCTCTTTCGGGTCGATAACTATCTCCACTTCATCAACCTGAAGTCAAAACCAATGCTTACAAATTACTGGAAATGTATAATTTTTAGACTGACACCGTTAGATCAAACACTCAACTGTGAACTAAACAAAACACAGGAGAAGGTTTCACGACGCTATTCAATAATAAGAGCTTGCTCCAGTTGTAACAGTGGTTCAGCCTGAACATTGCCAGAGATGTTTGTGTCCAATAGGCGGTGCATACTGAGTACAAACGTAATATAAGCTGTATAGATGCCGCAAACAGTAAGGTCTCTGTGACTAACAAACGGCTAGCAACCCCTTTCAAAGAATCGAAGAATGTTCACCCCTTACAAACTGCACTTAGTTTGTTTGAGTGTATGAGGAAGCTGCAACTTGCATACTGTTCACAAGTTACACACGATAGATTGCTTGTGCCAAGGATTGGCTTAAACGGACACAGTCCAGGTACAGCTTCCAAGCTGAAGACCTTGCAGACAAGAACTCAAATCTACTTGCCTTGCAGTGCTTTTCTAAGATTGGGAGACTTTAAAGCGTTTAGCCATGGGCTGCGTCCGACCGACTGCTTAGAGATAGATTTGAATTGAGAAAGAGATGAATCTATAAACCTATTGATAGGCTAAAGGGACAGGTCGCCGAAAGCTTTACTACCATTCTCTCGATTCAAAGAGTCGACCTACATTATCCTGTATGAAGGAAAAAACTTTAGCGAGAGGATTCACCATATCAGCAGCATGGTTCTGAAACGTACCTCCGGCATAATGGCAACAGTGGCCGTAGACGTGTGAACACGCCCTTGAGATTCAGTAGCAGGAACCCTTTGTACACGATGCACACCAGATTCATATTTCAGCTTACTGTACACTCGCTCGCCGGTGATTTCCAGCACAAATTCCTTGTAGCCTCCTTTCTCGGCCTTTGATCACATGCCAGAGTACCATCAGTCTCAACTGTCCTTGGAATTCCATGGATACAGTCATGTCATACAGACTGGAAGGAAGGTGATAGTGTTGTACATCTAAGCATTCAGATTCCATAAGCAGATTGCTCGTAAAATTCTTCTCATTCATGATACAACCACTCCTCTAAAAACATAGATTCGTCAATTTTGTTGAATTTACTAAATGCATAACGAAAGGCTCGATGCAGCCCTATGCGAGGATTAAGCTAAGAGTTATATCTGTAGGTTTTGGCTGACGACGGGTGAAAACGGTTCAAGAACCATTTAAGGGTTTAAGATAGAAGCAAGCAAGAGCACACATCTATTAAGCAAAAACTAACTCGTGATCTCAACTTTGAGGTATAACAACAAAGTTTGCAATGCACCACCAAGAATCGTTAAGTCAGATGTGTCATTTGAAGCCACAAACTAAAGACGTATCCTAAACTAGAATAAGCTTCTCACTTTGTCATGCTTGTTGAGACAACAGAGTAGATAGGAACTGGAATCTACGACAAAAAAATAGCATACAAAGCGTGAAAGCATCTGAGGGAGGATCAACTTTCCAAAAGATTCTGTACTTACCTCAGTGCAAGAAATTGGAATCGCCTTCCAGTTATTCCTTTCGGCATATTTTTGATACATGCGAACCTGGATCCATAGATGTTCAGAGAAGGAACTTATGCACATGAATATATCTAAACAGGACAGAAAGTACATTGATTGCTAGCTTCAGCTGACTGCATTTGGGGTATAAGGATATAACAAGATGTAAGGTGTACGTTTATATGCTTTACTTCATTGCAGTATTTCTCTGGTATGCAAACGCAGGTGAGCAAAAGCGAATCTCTCTATCCCATACTGTCGAGGTGGTGAACGTTTTGATAACAAATGACTTGCTACAAAGAAAGCCCTCCATCTGGACATGGTTTAAGGTACTGTATACCTACAAGATCTCCGGCCCATATGCCTGCTTCGTCTCCTCCTGTTCCTGCCCTCACTGTAGAAAACAAAGAATCCTGAAGAGGTCATTGCAGGCCTTTTCAATTGTCAACCATTATTTTGCTCCAACCAACGTGGAAGGAACTCGCTGGATTGACAGCAGAACATCCTAGTTGTTTGAAACAAGCATATTGGAAAGTTATATTGGTATTTCATCTCATGCTAAGGGTGCCCCTGTGCTGATTCAAATCCTTCCCAGAAAAAGCCGATTCATACGAACTTACTTCAATCATCTAGGTTTAAAGTATGAGTGCCTTATTTCCGCATGAGTGCGTAGAATCTAACAAAATAAATGTAGAGAACGGGAGGATTAGATTGAAACCTTCAAGCATGATGTTTCGCGCATCCAGAGGATCAGATGGCAGAAGAAGCAACTGTGTGGGCAAACACAAGCACATCCTCAGTAAGAAGAATCTATACAGCGATAAAATGTTGATCCCCTCCAGTGAGAAGTTTCGGTCTTCAGCATGCACTTTAACTAGTATGAAGTACCAATAAGAGAAAGAGGTGGTTTGAACTAACACCTTCAATTGCTCCTGAAGTTCTTGGATTTGAGTTTCAAGCACTTTAATCTCTTCAGCAGCCATTTCTGCCATCTCTTTGTCCCCAGAAGCGTCTTGGGCTAATTCTGTAAAAGTGTTTATCACACCTCATAGTATTAGCAACAAAAGATTAGAGAGATAACAATGGCTTTATTGAATTATTCTGCTATTCTTGTCATCAAAAATCTTCGAGCAAACAGTGTACCAAATTATTGCACCTTTTGCTTCGATCAACTGCTCCTCACATGATTTGAAACTCCTGTATTTCTCCACCACCTGTACGGAGAAGAGTACAGACCACATTTAGAGGACAGACAAAATTCTATTGTAAGATCACTATAGGACGGGAAAACTAAATCTGCATTATCAGTCATTCCCATTGGTGATTAAACGAAAGAAAATGTGGGAAACTTAGAAGCTTTAAAAAACTTTCAAATTCTAGATTAACATGTTGAATGGCAGAGAGCGGAGCTCAAAGGGATCAAACCTCTTCGAGCTCAGACAATGACTTCGCCAGAGACTGATACTCAGAGTGGTTACCGGCCACTTCTGGATCCGCAAGCCTGACCTGGAAAATTAGAGAAGCCCCAGGTTCACAAGTGTGATAGCACCATGTGAGTATAGAAAACAGTCCAAGCATTAGCCCCCATCAGTTGGAGTGACTTTCTGAAGTACTGGAGCTAACAAAAGGATTTCATTTATACTCGAACGAAATAAATAGATGCCAATGGTCTTTCCTCGAAACAAAGCGGGGCAAAAAATATTACAGATAATTCTTTGTACGTATTCTCCGCGGAATCAAGCTTCGCGATGAGATATGGTTCCTGCGCATGAGCAATGTGACCGACTCAGGGCATTTCGAAATTCGGAACGGCAAAAGGTGGGAAAACTCAATCTTCGAAGTGAAGATGAGAGCTGATGAATAATCATGAGTCAATTCGGTGCAAATTCATGACAGGGACCGCCAATCGATGAAAAATTACAATTCGGCTTACATCTACGGATATCCTGGAAGCACTGGAGGCACGAGCTCCGGTGACACGTTTCGTCCGGGTGACTCGCAAAGACAAAATCGAACTGTCCAGTCTGCGCCCATATAAAGACGAAGAACTGCTGCACGAATGGACGGGAATTTTCTCGGCCCTTCCTCTGGCCCGTGGCAGGCATCGACCGGGTGCACAAATTGAGGTCGCGGCGCCCGCTGCCGCGCTCATCATGGTGACAGTCTTGCCCGAGGTCTCGATGCTCGCACCGAACGAAAGAAAGGGGAAGTGCTCGAGGGCGACGGGCGCTGCTTCTTCATCAGACTCGCATGGCGCGCCTCAACGTCTCGACGTCTCGTCGTGCTCTGTTTCTGGCCTCTGGTCGACCGAAACTGGGCCCGGTTCTGGAGTCAGGAATCTGATAACCATATCCACTCGGCGCCCATCGTCGCCGTCCGATGCCCCGCACGCCGTGCCTGCGTTCTCCTCCGCAAACCTCAGTAGGCAACCATGGTTTCCCTCTGGTCAAGGGTCCAATTTTTGCGCCAGCCCCGACCCAAGTCTCCAAAGCTAATTTTCACATGAACACCATTAACTACTCTAGTTCGAACGAATCCACACGGTTTGATGACTGTAGTAAGTACGAGGAACTTTATACGTGTTCTACGGTGTAAGTGAATAAATTGAGTAAATATGTAAGAGGAAATAAGTCAGTAAAGCTTCTCGTTAATATGGTGGTGAAGGGAAATAAAGTGCACTCCATCAAAGCAAAGCCCAAGGGGGTTTTTTTTCTTTTTCTTTTGGTAGCACACATGAGTGCAGAGAAGAATAGCAATTGATGACACCAAGTAGTGTGAGCAAAAAGGTGGTGGATTAATATGCCATCATAAATGGGTTCCAAAGGACAAGATTCTCAATAAAGCTACACAATCTATCTATCTAGTGTGTTACGAACATAATTCCTCAGAATTTTTTTCCAAACAGTCTAACGTTTCATCACAACAATAAACATTGTATGTTGATGAAGTGAAGAAATGGAGCATAAAGGTCTCCAATAGAAAGATCAGACCAAACTTAACATGTAAGTAAAGAAATGCACAAGAATCTGCAATTTAATGTTTTATGATTATAATTATTACATAATATCTAGTGTGAAATCAAACTAGAAAAGGCTGTATTGGGCTGCTTCAGCATCTACCTCGATAACTAGTAGATAATGCTGATTCCCTAAGGACTCGAGGGGTCGTCCACCTCGATAATAATTCGAAGTCCGTCTACTTATGCTCGACGAGAAAGAGCCAGTTTGCGTCCAGTCCACGCGTCGTGTCGTGTGAAAGCGGATATTATGAAACACGATCCACACTGTCATGTGTCCGGGCCCCATTGTCCGACTCCTTGATCTTCGAGGCGTCCATGCAGATGCAGTCAGTCCTCTGCGTCCCATCGATCGATCGATCGATCGCTGTCCAATCCTGTTCTTGTGATGGAGTACGTTCATGTCCGAGCATTCTTTCATCTCCAAGCAGCAAGTCCATGGGAACACGCGCCCACTGATGGAGCTGTAGCTGTAGAGGAACACTGTCAGGACCTGAATTTGCTTTGGAATGATGGTTCAATGATGGTTCGACGACAGTTCACGCACCTTGATTTCTGATGGAAGGCATGGTGTCCTGGTTTCGTTTCGACTGCGGTCGCTCGTTCTGAATCGGGATCTCTCGGGGAGATATGCCTGAGACGACTGGTTTGCAGAAAGTGTTGCTGCGAGGAAGTTTCTTGTGTGAGCGGCAGAGTCGAAGCATCTCTCGTTGCTTTGCACATGTGCATGTTTCTCGGCGGTTTGGAGACTTTCTGGGTCCCACTTCGCGTGAATTTTTATCTCGAAGCCAGAGATTGAGGGCGAGGAGGAATAAGAGCAAGTCCGTCGTGACAACTACTATTAGTTCATTGATCACAGCAATTGCTATCTCTGGAATGGACATGGCCATGGGACAATCCGATCGCCATGACTGGGAAGATCCGAGTGTAGTGAGGTGGAATACACGAAGGGCTCATGTACCACTACATTGTCACAGCAATGTCGAAGGTAGTAATCCATGATTGTTTCCGATGTGTCAATTTCTCAGGGATTAATTTCTCAGATATTGGATCGTCTGAATTGTTGTTCTACGTCGGGTTATGGTCCAGGGCCAGCTAAGTTTAAATTCTTGCGAACCGTCCTTTATTGTGCAAGATGTGCACAAATCAGTTAAGAATTGTAGCTGAAAGGTGAAGAAAGTTAAGAGAATTGACTAAAGGTTGGCTAAGGTTTACTAAAGAAATTGGCTATGCTTTTCTTTGCCTTACGAGCAGAAGCTTTAAAATTTTTGCGAGGACGAAGTTTATTAAATGTGAAGGATGGAGATGAGGCTGTCTGGGGCGACGACGCTATTGCTGCAGCTCTGGAAAGTGCTGCCTTCTGGGTTAAGGGTCTGACTAATGTGCTTTCCCTCAGTGGATACTGGAAGTTTCATCTTGCTCCCAAGCCTCGAGAAGTTCCGCTTGGATTTCAACTAGTGGACTTCGACGATGGCAGCTGGTCCTCATTGCCAGGTACTGTAGTACTTTTTAATATCTATTGCCTTTGTGCATCCTTTTAGCAAATCTGATCACCTTTTCATCACAAAAAATTGAAACAGCTGATGATTTATGTGTGTTTCTCTGAATGGACGTGTGCTACGTTCTTCAGCGAGGATATGTCTTTGCTGAAAGTTTGCGCATAGCACAACTTGTCTCTTCATGGCGGGGGACGTTTTTATCGTCTCCTAAGTTTCCAAACGATGGCCGACTACGAGTCAAGCTTGTAAATCGTTTGTGAAGTCTCTTGACCTGCGCGTTAGACTTACGGGAGAGTTTTTGAGTTGAAATGAAATCAAGTCTCCTAGATTCACGCGGTGGACGTCTTTGTATAATATTGAGTTCTGGAGTAGATCGGTGCCTTATACTTGTATACTTTTGTATTGTGATCATGCCAGTGCCTTCAAACTGGCAGATGCATGGCTTCGATCAGCCTATTTACACCAATATTGTCTACCCGTTTCCGATCAACCCACCTAAGGTACCTGAACAAAACCCAACAGGCTGCTACCGAAGATCCTTCAAACTGCCTACTGAGTGGAAAGGTAACGTCATAGTTTTCTAGGTGTTTTGTGATAATCCGTATTACATAGTTTTTTAGAGTGTGTGGAAGTACACTGCGTAGGAAATGCCTACGACTATTCCAGCTGGTTTTAGTCACGGATGATCTATGCATTCATTGCTTACTTGCTTACTTGCTACTAGAAGATTTCGCCTACATAGTTACAAATGGGTGACACCCTGTCCTTTAAGTACAAGAGGTTCTTCTGTACTCATTTCCATTTCCATTATTTTCCGTAGACACATCATGCCTCATAACGTAGGTTTGCTTTCTTGTGGAATGAAGATGACCACTCTAATTAGTTTCTCATCTTATCTGTGTGTTCTAGCAGGACGTAGAATTTTCATAAGTTTTGAAGGTGTTGATTCCGCTTTTTACATCTGGATCAATGGCATTTTTGTCGGCTACAGGTTTGTTGCTCACTTTCCTGGCTTGTGACTGTAAACGTCGTTTTTTGGCACTTAGAATCTTGCTAGACTTTAATCTTGACTAGAGTGCCTACATCTGAAACTGATGCACTACGCTAGATTGTTACCGACGAACAGCAGAATTCCGGTTTTGCTTCGCTCGCGTTTTTAGCACATTCATGCAGGTTTGAGTCATCGATTCATTTTGTGTTTTGGTCTTGACAATAGTAAGAGTACTTGTACAACAGCCAGGATAGCAGATTGCCGGCCGAATTCGACATCACTGATTATTGTCGAGGAGCTGAATCCAACGACGAGAATACTTTAGCTGTGCAAGTAATGCGATGGAGTGATGGATCTTATCTAGAAGATCAAGATCATTGGTGGCTCTCCGGTATCCACAGGGACGTCATCTTGTTTTCCAAGCCGGAGGTAATCGAGGCTCTTCAAGCCTTCGTTTTAACTCTTCATTTACACGATATTTATCCTCAGGACAAAGGACAGTCAGGAAAATGTCTTTCTGCTCCATTGGTTTTTCAAACTCTTGGAAATAGATGGGTGTCTCATGATTCGATCTCTAGTAAAGTACCTTATCTAGTTCAACTGCAGGTTATGATTGCAGACTACTCCGTTCAAACAGATTTGTTCGAAAACAACGCACTGGCGACCGTACAGGTAGTCAACCTCAACGAGTTTCAAGTTTAGCTTTTAATGAGGTTTTATTGTTTTGTGTTCATCTTCACAGCCTTGCAAGTCGCTCGTGATTAGGTTTTATGGTATGATGTTGTTCAATCCTGCCTCAACTTTGGTGCTCTTATCTGTCGTCCGTTCTCTGAGAGTTACTTTGCTTAACAATTCAGGTTCAGGTTGTTGTGGAGGCACCCAGTGACCTGGTATCCACGTCTGGCCTGTCTTCGTATTCTGCCGAAGTTCTTATTTATGAGTCATGGTCTCATGCTCTACCCTCTGAATTCGATGAGGATAAAATGCCTCCAGAGGTCGGGAGAGCTGAGTTGCGAGGAATAAACGATTCGTCTGTTGGATGTCATGCACGCGGGACACTGACTCTGAAAATAACCCATCCGAACTTGTGGTCGGCAGAAAAGGTATCAATTTATTCAACTAGAGCTACACAGTTTTATCTTTACTGCGCATTAGTTTCCTTCAGTTCTCTTCTACGCAAAGTGATGGTTGCTCTAGTGATGCTGATTAAATCTTATGGTTGTAATGTCCTGTGCATATGTTCAGCCTTACTTGTACACGCTTGTACTGCTGTTAAAAGATTCAGAAGGGAAAGTAGTGGACTGTGAAGCGTGTCGCATTGGGATACGCCAAATTACAAAAGCCTACAAGGAAGTGCTTGTAAATGGTATGCCCGTCATATTTCGTGGAGTCAATCGACATGAACATCACCCGCGTCTCGGCAAGACGAACATTGAGGCTTGCATGATTAAAGTAAACTTTCAAGCCATGATTAGCTGCCTGATATGTAGTTCATTCAAATTATTGTTTCGCTTTCGCCATTACCAGAGAAACTTTTGGTTGTCACGTTTACGTGTCTGGTTTCCAACTGCTTAGTCAGACCATATACATAATGGTTTCACCACCAACCGCCTCCTGTCCGATCGGACAATTATGGCAATTCCTGCTTTGGTTTTGAGGGCTTGTCTCCACCAATCTGCCATATAATCTGGATACAGGCTGTAAACTCGGCTTTCCTGTGTGTGATCCACCGCACCGTGCTTAGATCGTAAGGAATCTTGTACGCGCATGCTTTTGACAACAAAATGTATCTCTAGTTGACGGTGTACTCTTGTGAACCAGGACATCACCCTAATGAAGCAGCATAATATAAATGCAGTCCGGAACAGCCATTATCCACAGCATCCTCGCTGGTATGAGCTGTGTGACCTCTTTGGCCTCTACATGATTGATGAAGCGAATATTGAGACGCATGGTTTTGATCCTGAGCCTTGGAATCAACCTCAGAGACAACTCACATGGGATCCACTGTGGGCGACTGCAATGCTGAGTCGTGTAATAAATATGGTGGAGAGAGATAAGAATCATGCGAGCATCATTTATTGGTCATTAGGAAATGAAGCTGGGTATGGCCCAAATCATGACGCAATGGCTGGTATAATTATTCGACCACCTCTTTCCGTGTTACTCTCGTGTTTCAGTCAGATACTTAAGTTGGATTCTAAAACTGGTGCTCGCGCTGTATCAATTGAATATTAACAAAAAAAATTTGTATGGTTTGATTAACGATTGTACGTAGTAAGACTCGAGGCTTTGTTTATGGTCGTGTCTATTCGGCTGTTAACTATCCATTTGCAACTGCTCAAGTTGTGCAGAGCGCTTATGCTTGTACGTCCCGTTTCTCTACTCGTCTGTGAAATCGCGTGTAATTTCCTTGCTGCTGATCAATAGGTACTTCAGTTGCTCACATTCTGTGCAATCTTAACAGCCTCTCGTTGTATTCATACACTGCTCTTTGCTTACAGATACCCAGAAACCCTATCAAGGAATTGATATTGGGTTGTAGATTGATACACTTCTTGCGTCGTTTGTGTCTTGCTGTCAACAATTACGTAGTTTTTGATTTTTTCTTTTGTTCTGTTTTTTGGAAAAGTTATTTTTCTCAAATTGGAAAATTTACTGCTGCTTTTTTTCCCTTTTTTTCGAACTCAGTCTGAAACAAATCGTCAATTAGCTGAGCCATTGGCGCGATATCATTTCGTGCCAGGCTCGTTTTAACTACTAAATGTATATATTTGATTATAGCTCAGTGATCTTTTCTCCGTGTGGATGCTTCACGCTTAAGCATGCGTTGGCTTGCTGTTATACAACATGGTCTAAAATATGCACTTTGCCTAGTGAGTCACTTAACATCTGGGTGTGCTTTTTGGTCCATTGGGTTCTTGATTATATTTTGCCTTCTGGCCCAGCTTTGGATCGTCATTACGCCGGTAGGTCCTAACTTAGTGAGTTTATTGTTGGAAGTTGATACCGTCATAGAAGTCTCACTTGGTTTCGTTTCATACTTCCTGACTTTCAGCGTCGGTCTAATTTCTCACATCATCTAATTGGCTCATTAGTGCATTATTTAGGATTGTACTTTCAAGGAGTTTTATTTACCGTTTGATTCAGCCATTTATGTTAGCCTTTTTTTTAATTGTTGCCATCAACGTTTCTGGCATCGTTTTTCATTTCTTCACTATCTTGTATTATGTACATGGTTTCGTTTCATACTAACTGACTTTCAGCGTCGGTCTAATATCTCACATCATCTAATTGGCTCATCAGTGCATTATTTAGGATTGTACTTTCAAGGAGTTTTATTTACCGTTTGATTCAGCCATTTATGTTAGCCTTTTTTTTAATTGTTGCCATCAACGTTTCTGGCACCGTTTTTCACTTCTTCACTATCTTGTATTATGTACATGTTTCGGGATAAGCTCAATATGGTTCTGACCGGGGGTGCTTTTGCAGGATGGGTCCGTTCCAGGGATCCGACAAGGCCTGTACACTATGAGGGAGGTGGATCCAGAACTACAGCAACGGATGTTGTGTGCCCAATGTACATGCGTGTTTGGGATATCGTCAAGATAGCTAAAGATACTGAAGAATCGCGGCCACTTATACTTTGCGAGTAAGTCAGCTGATCAATGGAGCCACTGAAAGCATGCTCTCCAAGTTTTATGTATAAATCTCGGATTATTCTGTCTGAATCTCGAAAATGTTTGAATTTCTCACATTTATTCATGGCTGGGTTGTGTGCCGATATAAAGAATATTCGCCAGTATAAAAAGCCGTCGTATTTTTCTCTAGCAGCTATGACTGGTGACAATTGGTGAATGCAGGTACTCACATTCCATGGGCAATAGTAACGGAAACTTTCATAAATATTGGGAGGCCATCGATGAAACGCATGGCCTGCAAGGAGGTTTCATCTGGGATTGGGCTGATCAGGTTCATTCCCGTTCATATTGATGATGTTGTTGCATTTTGGTGTAGTTCTTTCGTGAGGTGAAAGTTCTACTGTCTTCTGTAGATTGTGTTCATAACTTCAGATTAGACCCGGATCGCTTGTTCAGGGTTTGTTGAAAAGTGGACCTGACGGTATAAAACACTGGGCATATGGAGGCGATTTTGGGGATGTACCAAATGACTTGAACTTCTGCCTCAATGGGTTGATTTGGCCGGACAGAACGGCGCATCCTGCCCTTCAAGGTTGTCTTTTTATCCCGTTCCTTGAACTGTGTCGCTCTCTGGTATCTGACAGGGCCGTACAGTCTCAACGTCCTCAGATGCCTCTGTAACCGAAATTTGGGTATAGAAGATATTAGTTGTCATCTCTTCAACACAATTAAATTGTGCAGGGTTAGAGTCTGGCGTTCTCGAATCACTCATGGCAGATAGCTGATTTTATGCTAACTTTGTGTGTGTTGCGCAGAGGTGAAACACGTTTATCAGCCCATTGGAATAATGTTAACTGGTGATCAAGTGCAGGTTCGTGACGCCTTTCTATTTGAAGTTGAAGATCAATTTATTTTTCTTTTATCCTCTATTCTATCGATAGGACGAAAGAGCGAATCACACCAATTACCCCACGTCGTATATCTTACTGTGGGTTATATCGTGTTTGGCAGATCTGGAACAAACAATTTTTTACATCGCTGGACGACGTGGAATTTAGTTGGGCACTCTATGCTGATGGTTCACTTATAGGATCCGGACCACTAGATCTTCCAATCCTTGGGCCCAGAGAAAAGCACTTGATTCCATCTGAAAGTGAACCATGGTATAAACTCTGGAAATCTTCGTCGGGACATGAACTTTTTCTGACAATAACAGGGAGGTTGTCATCTACTAACTCGTGGGCAGACAAAGGACACTTTGTTGCCTCCCAGCAGCTAAGCCTTCCTCCTGCACTTCCTCGACATGTCAAGGTATTGGTTGAGTCTTACGACAAATTTGGCAAGTTTCCAATCACTCTTTTCTGCTCAAACTTGAAAATGCTTTGACTGACATAGGTTTTGCAGGTTTTTGCTTCATCGGACAGGCCAACACGAAACCTGGTACTTTCTGAGGGCACGGATACGATTTCTATAAAGTCAGACACTAGTGATTGGGTCATGATTTTTGATAGGGATGGCGGGGTGATGAAGTCCTGGAAGGTACGTATTTTACTGCATCCTCATCAAGTTGCTTGAACTTATGCAATAACTTAGAAAGGTTTTTGTTCTAGACCTCCAAAAATAAATTTACTTCTCCGGGAAGCTTTAATCTCTTTAGTGCATGTATTATTACTCTTCTTTTAGTACGTGAATTGGTTTCTCAAGTATGTCAGTTTTATAATGGAAAGCCCTCTTTCAGCAAACTGAAATGGTATGCGAAAAATGCATACTAACAGTTTTGCTCTTATTCTGAAGTCAAATGAAATTGAAGAAGGAAAGTCTTTATCGAATACTTTGAGGACAGCAAGAATGGCTACTTAAACTCTGCATTGATTTTTCATACGAGTTAATCTAAATTTTACTGTTTCAGGACAGAGTACTTGATTGCTGTAAGACCATAAATGTGTTGCTAATTAGAATAGATTATAAAGATGTAGCTACTAATGCTTTTTCCTTTTAGGTGAAGGAGCACGGTGTCGTCTCTAGTGGTCCCGTGCCTTGCTTCTGGAGGGCCCCAACTGACAATGACAAAGGTGGAGGCGATAATAGTTACGATTCCAGATGGAGAGCTGTCGGTCTGGATAAATTGAGTGTTGTGTGTAAGACGGGCATTCAAATCTGTGAGCATTCAACCCATTACTTGGAGCTCAAAGCCACTCTTTACGTGGAACCCATCGACTCACATCAGTATATGTCTGACCCAAGCCCACCCGGAGAAGGCAGGACAGGCGAATCTTTTTGGTTCGAAGTCGGAGTAATTTATAAAATCTACGGGACTGGTGATCTTGTCATTGACTATGATGTCAAACCTAACAGCAGGCTCCCAGCTTTACCTCGTATTGGTATTGAATATAAGGTAGACAAAAGCTGCAGCGATGTAGAGTGGTATGGCAGAGGCCCAATTGAGTGTTACCCGGACAGGAAATCAGCTGCACACATCGGAGTATACCAATGCACAGTAGAAGGGCTGCATGTACCATACATTGTGCCAGGAGAATGTGGAGGAAGAGCAGATGTGAGGTGGGTTGGATTATCTGACAAGGAAGCGGGAGTTGGCCTTCTTGCTATGTCTACCCCAGATAGTCCTATGCAGATGAACGTTAGTTACTACTCCACAAACGAACTCGACGCTGCAACTCATGAAGAAAAATTAAATCGAAGTGGGGAAGTCCAGGTTTGTTTCTCTTTCTTAAGTGCTTATCTTCACATCCGTACACGTAGTGTGATAAAAGACAATGATGATGAGAATGTGTATCATATACGATTGTCTTTCTCTTACTACAATGAGAAATTTTCAGCTAAGTAATCCTTATGGTCATTTTTGTAGCATAGACGTCCAGCCGCGCTTAGTTACATCATCCTCTTTTTCAAGTCTTATTATTTTGATATTCTGAACTCTGTTGCAGCAGTTGATTAGAATGTCTTTTAGATGTATCACCAGCAGCGCCTAATCACTCTATCGACTCTCTAGTGCTAGCCATAGCTTGTTAAGAATACTTTAAATAGCACTCTCCGCTAGGTGGAGTTGCTCTCTAGACGATTTTCGAGAGCTAACTCCACCCTCACCATTCATAACTTAAAGGTGTGAACAATGTCTGAGGAAATGATAGCTGGCCAAATGATCACCAGCAAAGAGTGTATTCTGACTTGTAGCCTAGCAATACAGGTATTTCATGGCTCACATATGAACCTGAAACTAACTTGAAAACCTAAACTGACGGTGGCTAATGGTTGCGAATCCCTGTTTGAACCCCAACGTAAATCAGTAGTTAACTTCTAATATTACGTAGTAATTACTTTTCCTCTTTACTATTATTATTTCACTTCTAAATACAGAGAGGAACTGACTTTGAGATTAACAATGACATCACATTCTCCGCTGACACTCTGGGTTCCGGCGACTTCACATATTTCTCCTCTAGTTGGTGGCCTTCAAGGAATATTGTCAGTTCTGCTTGATAGGTTTAATCTTAAATCTTTAAGATCTTCAAGTTTTAGCCCATTAGAATGATCGTGTACAGATATATGATGTGTCATACCGAGAGCTTTTGCTTGTAAATGTGTCACTCATGGTGGATTCTGTACGTGACGATAGAGTGATGCCCGTAGGTATGTCTTGATGATTGTCCCTGGTTCCTTTTCTCACATGGGATACGAGGAACTATACCCCACTTTGTTCTGAAAGTGCGCTTGCACTCGTCTGTTCAATGTCTGTCTCTTGCACGTGCATCTCCTCCTATGATTATGAAATCCTGCTTTTCTGCTTTGCCGCAATTCACATGCAGTTTTCTTCTTTTTGTACTAAGAATGTTTCAGCAGGATATTATGTAATGCTTTTATCTTGTTCTTTATTGCTTTTCTGTCACAGTTTGTCGATTTATGCTGTTCGATAGATTTTTGAGCGCCTGTTTGTACTCTGTTGTCCCCTTGCGGGTATTACCTTGGTTGATCATGTGTTGAGTGGGATTCAAAAAAAGAAGAGGCAGAAAATTATAAATATTTATTTGTGCATATCTTTTTGGTGCAGGTACATCTTGATCATAAACACATGGGACTCGGAGGTGATGACAGCTGGACTGCATGCGTACATGAAGAATTTACCCTTCCACCTATACCGTATCAGTTTTCTGTTCGTTTCCACGCTATCAATTCCAAAGTAAAGAGTTACTGCAGTGACGTTTTCCATTCGCTACTGGAGTAGTTTGGTATCCGTCATGATTGCGTCGTTTGTTGTAGAGTAGGGCAGCCTTTTCGCTAAATATGTCGAAAGGCAACTTCTGCTCATTTAATCAACTGAAGACGGACTGCAGTTGATGGTCTTGCGTCAAGCTAGATTCAATTAGGTTTCACATCTACGGTTTCTACTCACATGTACAATTATTCCTAGTAACAAATCCACTCTACAAGAGAGACAAGGGCGTCTGTGTATTTTCACACCTTCTAATTTCACTACCGCTACTCGTACTCTATCGTGCTCTATCGTGCCAAATATATTATTATACATGACATTGTCAGTAGATGGCCGTAGGGGAATTTAGATCGAAGATTTGTTCTCTATATGATGTGCACTTTTGATTCGCAGAATTGCTTTGCATTCTCCTTGAAGGAAAATCCACTAGTGTTTTCAAGGAGAAGTGGATTGATGCCCAGGGATTTGGGCATCAAGCTTTTGAAATCCCTGGACGGGATTAGAAAATTGATTTGAAAAACATTTTTTTCAGTGCTGTGACCATGGTACTTGTGTAATTATCTCCTTTGTATGTTTTTAAACAGTCCTCAGATTTTGAAGATCTTCCTGACACTGATCGGAGCGAAACGTTAAATATGTGGGTTACACATGATTTAAATCGTAATTACTGCAAAAGGAACTAGATGTGGTGGATTCTCAATATGGTCTTGAAGCACCATATGGGTACAGGTGTCCTATTCCTTTCGGCGACTACACTACAAACCGAATGGATTTCGAAAGATAAATTCAGGCCGATTGATCCCCTCTAAAGAAAATCTTGTTGGTAGGAATCTTTCTCCAAATCTCGAGATTGATCTTTACTTTCAGCCCAGATACCCGAGGCAGTCAAGCACCCATACATATTTGATAATCGAAGTATAGGAAATCGAATTGTTTATGGCTGTTTCTTAACCCAAGCACAAAAAATTCTCCCTTATTTCTTGAAGCTTGTAAATCCTAAAATTATTTTCAGCAGAAGAACTGAAGTCCAGAATTTCAGCTCCTACTGTTGATACAAACTACCGTTGTTTTGGCCAGGTTTACCTTCTGGTGTACCAGATGAAGGAATTACTGCTTGCTGCTCTGTTTGCAAATAACATTCTTTTTCCTACGCCATGGGCTTCCATTTTGAATAGATTTCGGTCTTAGGTAATTCCCAACCCAGCTCACCTTCAAAATCAATCAGAGTTGCAAGATGGCCATTTCTCAACCTGAAGGGTCCTGCTGCTCGGGATAAACAGTTTTTCTCTTCCAAGCTGTGTCGGGAGGACCAAGCCTGGAGTTGGATTACTTTTTTGGAGTATTGTGAAGTACTCCAGTACTACAACACGTTTGTTTCCTTCAGAAGCCCATACTCACCAGCACACTCGCGTTTCAATTGTTTCAGCAAATGACGCATGATACTCTTCAACGTGTTGCTGGACACACCGTTTCAAAAGCACCGAACTGAATGCAATCAAATGACTGTTGAACCTGGAAACTGAATCATGTTTGTATATTCGACCGCAGTAAACAACTTTGTTATTCTACTTCTGATCTCAACTTAAATTATCATGACAACTTTCTGTTGTCATGCAGAGGCATGCGACAATGTCTTATCATCTCATCTACAAAATAGATAGATTGTTCGGCCGATGGAAAGAGTCTGACTTTTACCAAGTCATTGATGATGATGGTAGTTCCTGGGTTCCCCTATCCCGCTAATCCAATCCTGTATGAATGTAGGATTCATTTAAAATTTCATCAAATACACACACTTCCAAGGTCCATCCTTCTTCCCTGGTTGTTCTCTCCTCATAGGTGCACATCACTCTATGTTTTTCTTTTACCACAGTTGGAAGACCGTCTGGCATCGATGACCTCACGTTGAGTTGAGTTGAGGCTTCGTTTATGGACGTCTTTATTGATTGGAGTTGCCCGAGGCACTTGCAATGTGTCCGTCAGTATACTAGTGGAAACAATAGAATATAAATCAGGCCAAGAAAGGTGCCAAAAATTGCATTACAAAGTCTTAACTGGAACACCTAGCGTAGTATGTAGGACACGAGTCCGTATGTGCCAAATAGGGGAAGGGCCTATATAATGGTCAATTTGAGGCTCATTTATAGTGGTCGATCTATTTTCATTGTGTTTTATCGTGTAACTTATACGGTATAAGTATTCACTCGAGAATCGAGTGAATGCCTATACGATAAGTATACAAAAGGACATTTTACGTTGGATACGATGTGGATCTGACCTTTCTTACTCGGTTATCGTTCTAACCGTATCACAACAGACCATTGCCTTCGGAACAATATCTCGGCACTTGCAACAACATCTGAAATAGGAGTAAAGTTTCATATGGAAGAGACCTGCAATAATTTTGTGAAGGTCGAGCTCAATTAAGATGGAGAGCATTTGCTTCGAAGGAAACATCCCCATATAATTTTAGTGACAGGACATATGCAAGGAAGAATCAAAATGAACCAAACCAAGTAAGATGGATTAAGTTTCTATAGAAGAAAAAAAGAGTGTTAAGCAGAATCTTTCCACAATTAGTATATATACGGCAAGATACAATATTTTCTGGCATTTGTTGTGGTAAAATGCAGACACCTTGTAGACTTAAAAGTGGAATAAAATGTATCATCCCTTTAACCTGTCCATGGATGTCACTAGCGTTAATCTTAAGCAAATAACAGGGCTTGTGTACGCTTGAAACGGATGAGTTAGTATTGTTTTTTGTTGTTATCATTGAGCTTACATTGAATATTGAGGGGGAGGGAATCAGGTGAGACTTCGTGAAAACCGGAGGGTGGAGCAAAGGGGTCACGCACAGTTTGACAGAACTTACGCCGTTAGAACACATTAGAGAAGAGGAGACTAGGGCTAGAAATACATGGAGACAGATCTATGTTTTATACAAAACATCAGTCAAGAGTTTAGGCAAGCACTTGAGTATGCTTGTGCAATCAACAAATCTGTCGAAGTGGAGATTGAAGCCACACTTGGCCTCCAGGCAGGCTTCTTGCAGCATGTTAGTACGAAATCAAAGCAAATGGACCCGGCACAGCCATCGTCTACTCACCATCACGGAGAAGGTTCATCGTCGACTTAAACTGTGAAGATGAAACTGAAGTCCGAGAATATCTCCACCATGACGTCACACCGCTAAGCTCCCTCTCGAAGGAGCCAAGTGGAGTCCAACGGACAACATACAGAGGCTCCAAAGAACGACAGTAACCCTAAATCAAACTAAATCATTGCTAAAAAATGAAGTATGGTCACAAAGCCCGCCATTGTTGTTAACCTTCACCAAACACGGCACCAAGTTACAGCAAATTTCGGGATAGACGAGACCGATCATAAGAAGGCATCCTCTCAGCTTTCAAAGATATCACAAACCACGGACATAAAATGCAATAAATAGACACCTCTCAATATAAATAGAAGACATTAATAGTAACAAGAATGGCAATAGACAGGTGAAAACAAATGAGCAAGAGGGTGCTAACTTCCAATAGCATCAACAATCCATTCGACTAAGACATCGAGGTCAAATATTGTGTATATCAGATTCAAAATATAGAACTCATCACTGGTTGATACATACTACGGATTGTATAGGCTAATGTTCCACGCGAAAGACGAGAAGCTCGCCAACTCGTAAATGTCGGAACTGTGTTTATTTTGCCACGCAGCAATTGCTTGAGTGTATACAAGCCCTCATGGGCAGGCTAAACGCAGCTTCTCGCTTCATGCAGAGGTCGATGGTCAACGTATGTACCTGTTCGCTGTGCGTTAGCAATCGTAGTATGTTCCCAGGTGCCATTAGTTTTGGCACCCTTGGTTGTGATCAAAGAACTTTTGCTGCCCCAAATATAATCTTTATGTCGGGGGTTTTAGTAATCATTCAACATTATCACTACCATTAGCCGTTTTCATATTCGCTACAACGACTAAGAAGGCAAAGCTCTCATCTCACGTAGATGTTGACGTGGAAACGATGGAATGAATATGCAACCAGTTGATTTCAGCAATATTTGTTGGTATAATTTGGCTTATACAAAATTTCTTTTGTTAAAATCTATTGCTGGACTTTGATTCATCCACCAAAGCAAAAATTGACAACACATGCCTTTTCGATGCTGATCACTCTATCAAAGAGTCTTGTTTAGTGCATGGGAGAGACCAGCATTGGGTGTCCATACCCATGCCCAAACCCACCCATGGCCATGGATTATGGGTGGGTTTTTGGTGACATTATTTTTCCATATGAATGGGCACAAGTAATGCTAAGGCCAGTGTTTGTCAAGATCCAACCAAGAATTTGCGTAATTTGAGTAGCATGGGTGGGCATGGGTGGGTTTAGATCGCTGCTGATGGTTATGGTCTGGTCTGGGTGTAGATTTGAAGTAAAATGCATGGCAAGAATGCTGCAAATGAAACCAAGGGAAAGAAGTAGAAGCAACAAGTTATAACTTATTTGAGATGTGGGTGGAGGGGGAACTTAATTGAGCAACAAGCAATTACCACCGTGTCCAACTCCAAGAGATTTAAAGAAATCACACAAACAATCACGAAGACTAACAACTCGATAAAATCACCTCCACATTTGGCAGATGCTGCCATGCAGAAAGACACAAGTCAGCCTCAATTCCGAGGAGAGGATCACATGGGTTTGGATAGTGAAACACACAAGCCAAGCTTTTATTCGTTTTTTTAGTTCTTACCACACTCCCAACTTTGCAAACCCAAACTCGAGAAGCGGATCAACATCTGTCGCAAATATCACTGCCCGACCGGCCAGAAGTGCCACGAAAGATCTTCAACTCATCAGATGAGGATGACATCGGCAAAAGACTGGATTTGGAACCAGTCGTTGGCTGATCTCATCCGCAGCCAGGTAGCAATGCTAGAGAAAATCCAACATCCATAGGAGATTCCAACCAGCTCCGCCCCACTAACGAAACAATATATGAGCACATCATTGCGGAGAAAGGTTTTCCCCATCTCTCAAAGCAAAGAGCTCAAGTATTCTGGGAGCGTACATACATCCCTCGATGTTGATGAACATATATATTCTAAATTTAGCCATATTCACTAAATTTACATTAAAAAAAATGTCCACAAGCACTGTCATACATCAAACTAATAGTAATCTGGAAAGTAAGCGAGTAGTAACAATTGCAACAACAAGCAAACCAGAACTAGGGCATTGTCAAAATTATGGAATGGAACAATCAGCAACCAAACTAAAGTTATCGAATAACCAAAAGCAAGGAGGGGTCAAAGGAACAACCAATAAAGAACCCAAATCCTTCCTTAACAACAGTTCATCCACTTTACTACACACTTCGCATGAACAGAAATGGGCAAACACGTGAAACCCTTAGAAGAAGCTCCTGTTGATTCACACGCATCTTGACTCTCTGTGTTCACTTTCTTTCCAGAGAAGAGTCGGACATCCTCGACATGATCAAAGACAACAGAACACAAGAAACACGGACCAGCACAACTACACGATCAAGACCGTCACATGATGTTCATCTTCGAAGAAATCTTCAGGGAACGAATCGAAGTTTGCAGCGGCGACAATACATTATTGGTTAAAGTTTTGGTAGTGAAGGTAATAAGTTCGATATCTTACGCAATGGCACCGTCTGATTACAGCACGTCCTTCCAACACATTCATTGTGTTGAAAGGACGCAACGCCAGTGAGGAGCGAAATGGGAAAACTGCAAATTTCAAGGTTTCTCAGACTTCTCACTGAAGACTGGTGATCTAAACCAAGATGAAGATCTCCACAGGATAAGAATCGATCATTAGGTAACAATCCTTCATTTCGGGGTCACTCTATCTAACTCCCTCCATGCAAGCTGTTTCAACATCACGAGAAGAGAACTCAACGAAGATAGTTCTCGTCATAAAACCATTTTCAAAAAATGCCCAACAACCATGCGAGTAAAATTAGTCAATGATTGAAAAACATATATCTTCAAATTTAATTTCTTATCAAAAAAGTGAACATATTTGTACCAAACGAATACCAAGATAGCAAGGAGCATTGACATTGCAAAATCTAAACGGGAACATCGACACATTTTTACTTCACGAGAAATACATCTCGTATGAGCTTTCGCTGGAAGTCGAAACCAGATTTTATGATGCAAGGGTCACTTCACAAGAAGTTCAACAGTTGAGATTAAGCGCATCGGTAGTCGCTAGAACAATGAACATGCACACTGAGGTATATAAAGAGTGATCATGGTGCTCTAGGCAGTAGTTGCAAATTCAAGACTCAATTTGATCATTGAGCCATAGCTTGATTTAGGAAATCTTTTTAAATAGTGATATTTTTTGCTTCCCGGAATACATTCAAAAGGTATCTTTACATGAGGAGTGGAGAATATAGATTGGCCCTGATTTTCATGAGTCCATACTTGGTGGGAATTCAAACATACTATCATCCACAAGTTTGTGGATATAAGCTCAGATATAACTCAAAGTTGTTTTGGCTCCCACTAAATACTTTAAGTGCGTTAAGATTTTGATAATATTGACCTTGTGGATATTTTGAGAATGAGCATCAATTTACATTAATGTTGGTGTACCAAAAATCTACATATTTTGATGTTTGATAAGATGAATATAATCTACTATGCAATATCTTCGTGCAAAACAACGACTCTTTCACTTGCATGCATTTCTCTTCTCGTTCACAAGGCTACACAAATAGTTGTTTACAAGCAAAATTTGGATTTAGGTGAGGAATATCTCATGTTACAAGTTGATTGAAGATCGTGCACAAGCAGTACATCACATCCAACGTCTTCTTCTTGGTGGCCTAGTATTCGTGAAACGGCTCTCATGCTGGCCATGCAGAACTTACCCTTCTAACTAAACAATTTTCTTCTTGGTGTGTAACGTGATCTTAGAAGTCTTCCGTCTAGTCTCTATGTGCACCCCATAACCTGCATATTCTTGCTGCTTATTAGCTCCTTCTCCTTTCCATTCATCAATTGACACAGCATGCAATGTACACATATAAAAATCAAAGTCGATTGGATAACCATCAAAATCACAAGTCAAAGCCCAATGAAGCCCACTTAAAGGGCAGGAAGATGACTACGATACACGCTGAGTGAGGATTAGATCTCCACCACTTCCCCACAAACGCCACTGCACTGCAACCTGGAAGGCCTTATGAGTTCACAACATTTGGCGAAGCGGCTCCTGGCAACTCTATCTTTCTCTTCCCGGCACGTGCCATAGCTGTCTGAAGAGGTTTTGATCCCCGCAAGCAAAAAAAAAAGTGTGCAGCAAGTCAAAAAGTTCCGAGTCTCCTATCATAGACTGCCACACTCTCCGTTGTTTCTTGAAGAAATACACGACCATGTAGGATAAGTAATGATTCTGTTTGCCATCGCAGACAACAACTCTCCTCAATTTAGTGGATACCTGTTTTAATTCTATTATTTCACTTTTTTATTGTTATTAATATTTTTATGTTCACATATAATAACAGGATGGAGATACTTTAATTGTCCTTCCAATCGTAGCTACAGTAGGCTATTTTTCTTTCAACCCCGTAACCAAATAAAACTCGAAAAACATCAACTTTCTTGCCCATTCACAAGTAAGATATAAAGTGACTGTCTGCACTCTTATTCTATATGGCAGGACGCCTTAAGGACGAATCATCGATGTGGAATAGATGTGTGTAAGTAAGTAACAATACAAAATCTTCAAATGCATGATCCAGTAGCACTCACGCTAGTCGTCCTGGTTTGGAGAGTGACAACCGTTAAAACTTCGAAGGTGGATAGGTGGAGAAGAAAGAAATCAATCTGGTAAGAGTTTCTTCAAGTTGTGAGACTTTTGAGCTATTTTCAAGCCCCTATGCTTCAGAAAGTGCTACAAGGCTTCCTAACCACGCACAAAAGACACGACCAACATTCAGCCTTGTGACTCTCATAAGGTAAAGGAAATGTGCCTTCGTAATGCCAATGCTAAGAAACACAATCAAGAAGGAAGCGAGAGTCACACACCCCCTGGAACATTAATGAATACAACAACAGTGCAAGGGTCTGCCGAAGAAGAAGAAGAAAAAGAGGCATCCAAGCTTCAAGATATTCATCATCACCATCAGCCATTTACGGGGAGTGAGCAGTCATAACCCACCGCTCAATGTTGCAAAAAGCCCAAGTTGACGTTGACCGAACGATGCCGGCACCGCACAACACCGAGCCTTTCGAATATCCGAGGCATTGTTTAACATTACGTAACAAATGTGCATCCAAATTCTGCCAGAGGGATGGGAAAATGGAGAAAACGTGTTGCCCGGCTCGGTGTTGATATTTCGAAGCCACGAGCATCGGTGTTGCAAAAGGCATGAATTGTCATCGCAAGATAGTCCTCGCTCGATGTGGCTTCGTCCGCTGGAAGAACGTTGGGATCTTGAGCTCGAACCAATGAGAACCCCTGCGCTCGCTGGAGCTGGAACGACCTCTGTGACGTGGAGTCGAAGTCTTCCGAGTCCGAAGGAGGAAGTGGCAAGACAGACACCGAAGCCCGCCCCTCAATCCAACCATCGGCCCGACAACTGTACTGTACTCCTGAAGCTACTGCATTCGCCCATTCGCCCTCGCATTCTTTATTATTATCGGAACTATCTTCTCTCGAGCATGGACGTGGTACAACCGCCTCCGTCGTAAACCAGGTGGAGTGCATTATACGCCATCGTCGGCATGTCATTCCGAGATAATTACTATGGTGTGCATCTCCTGCTGACTTCAATACCTCCGACTGCATCCATTCCTCACATGAGCCACTAATGCATGTCGTAAAAAAGTGCGAGGATAACGATGAAGGCCATATTGTAATCACACTACTTCGTTTGTACCTTGTCTACGAATATCTTGGCAAACAATACTTTGATAGTCCTCGATAATCCATTCAATAATCTATACGATCTAACTTGAACATTTGCATGTGTTACTTTTACATGGAACTGATAATCGACAAACTTTCATAATCTAACAAGCGAATGTAGCCGCATTGTTGTAATGTCATGAGAATCTTTCAGGTAATGGAATTGTTGTATTTTTTTATTATTTAAAATGATGAAATATGAAATTATTATCGTAAAATTACATACGATATAATGGGATATATCTGATACTTAAATAAATCACCTTTATATAGTTGGCGAGGTTGAATTTTCTCATCGTTGTTTACGTAAGCTCAAATTGAGATAATACGGATCTGAAGTAATTACACTGCTTGATACATTTTTTAAACAAATTTTTGATTATTCTAATATTTTTAGGATTTATCAGATCTAACGATGCTAAAATCTTGAAGAGTTGAATTAAATTATCGTCGATGGTAAACGCTCCATCTTGACTTCTTCCTTATAGTTTGACACATTTCAACAACTTGATGTTCGTTACATGCAACCTTTGTATGTTATGTGCGAGAGCTTATCTCAGTTGCAAAGAAAAAGAAACTGAAGATTATAAGGTTAAAAGATAAATATTCCAAAAAAACGAAAAAATATATTGATAACATAGTTGATAGTCATATGACTAACAAAGATCACTATATACTTGCAAACCAGATGATAGATTGATGTATGCGATCAGATGTGATATTATTTAATAAATCATATATATATATATATATATATATATATATATATAAAAACAAACAAATACAAAATGCTCACTGGAAATCAATTATGTAACTGGAAAATTTTTTTTTTTAAGAAGAATCTACATGTAACTTTTGATTTAAAACTTTGGTTTTTTTCCACACACATATTTTCTATGACATGTCTTTAGACATGATAATTTTATCCTAAAACTGGTTCCATGATGGACAAAATTTGTAATGCAAATTTATACTGTATATCATGTTGTTTATCTCATTGATATTATAATGCTAGAATTTTAAATTTCCTTATATAAAAGTCTATATATTCATTCAGAAGTTTGAAAGATATTCAAAGGAAACTCTGATAGGTTTTTCTCGCATTCGCCAATCTGATTTATTTTATTGACTAGAGAAAGTGTCTTGAAGAATAAATTTGTACTTATAAAATCATGATATTTCTTGTAGATCCAAAAATATTTTATCTTTCAACCAAATAATATTAATTAATTATAAAAAATGTAATGTAAACTACATTGAAATATCTGAAATTGAATTTCTAATTTATCAATATTCAATTATTATCAGAATAAACTTCATAGACCAAATTTTATACTTCAGATTCAAATTTAAAATTCTATTTCGGCCTTATAATTTATTTTGTTATGGTTTCTTTTTTCTTTAATTTATTTTAATTTATTTTTTCTTCAGAATGATATTGTATCTTAATCCAGATTTCAATTTGATTTATTTTTTCTATTCTTCAAATTGCTTGATACTTTTCAAAACACGGTCAATATTAGATTTTTTGAATATTTTGAAAAAATATTACATACTTGAAGCCAGCTAGCCTTTTGAGCTTTCATTTGATATTTGAATGAAATCATGACAATTAACATAATTTTATAAAAAAGAGTGGTTTTCATGTTTTGTTGAATATATAATTATCCTCTTACGTTACAATTTGAACTGAAATTATCAAATAATCCATGATTCTTTTAGATTTTAATAGATCCAGTTTCTAAAAAATTTGAAATAGGAAGATGAGAAATATTAACATGAGAGAACTTAAATAAAAATTAGTCTAAATTCTGAAAATTCTTATCAAGAAAAAATCTTTTTGGGTACTTCTCTGCTTGTTTTGTGACAGATGATACATCGTGTGTGTTTCAATTGATGTTACATGACCATTTGATGGTATGATGATATGATGTCATACGTTATCAAAAGATTGTTTGACAATTTGAATAATTGTCATTTAAGAATGTTCAAAAGCAACAATTGTAAAGTTGGAGCATTATTTATTTTTTTATCACAGTGGCCCTAAACTCTACCAATTCTTTTCATATTTATCATGTTTAAATGTTTCGTGTAAATGTTTCGGATGCAGGTTCATTAGATTTCATGGCTTGTACATACGTTGTTCAGGTTACTTCGATCCATCAATAGGGATCTAAATTTCGCTTGTTTTCTCTGGCTATGTGAACAAAATCATGCAAACCAACAACGATGAAGATGGTTAAATTGAAGATATTAAGATCTCCCCGGTACATACTCTCACTCGGGAGTGAGATTTCATTTTACATAAACAAGTCTTGAAAGTCAACAAATATCTTAAGTCGAAGTAGAATGGGTGGTCATTCTTCCGGCATAGATCGATGTAAATGGATTTTACGCGATTACGTGCTTCCCGCTATGCTTATTCGTCATCTACAATGCATATCCAGTCAGTTTTTGTACCAGAATCCGAATTACACACCCGACATGAAATGCATGCATTTTCGTTTTACTGGTCCGATTCGACATCGAGACGAGTCGGATCGATTCCTTCCTCCGGGATCCGGGTGCTTGTTCGGTGCACTTTTGGGATCGATAGAGATATTAATGCGATTTACTCGAATGAGAGAAATTATTGGCCCAGCTCTCCGTACGTCCGGGATACAGTCAGCCGGGAGGAGTCTCATAGGGCCCAGAGCTCTTCCTCCTCCTCGGCTCGGGAGTGAAGCGGAGAAATGAGAAATGAGAAATGCACCTATTGACCGGGTTACAGGATAATACGAAACGGAATTATTCACAGTCGCTTATACTCTGCAGCGCCGGGTCGAAAGAGACAACGAAACCAATAGTTCAGATGTAACCTTCCAAGTCAAGTCACTAGGAAATGCGTTGGATTTTGTGGCATCCGCAGATCATGTGAGAGATGATGACAAAGTTACATGTCAAGAGTGCATTATGGGAACTTTTGGTCATGTGACTTTTGTGAGTCACCGCGAAGAGCAATGGAGATGAACCTGCTATTCCGGATGCGAAATCACCCTCCACCTCCATGTGACGATACACGTGTCGCGAGGTGAACTAGGCGCCAAGTGGACTTCCACCACGTTCCCATCCTAACCCTCTGACCCGAGAGCTGTAGTTGGTCCGCTTGTCTCCACCATTTAGACCATCCGAGTCTCTTTAAACCTTAGCAATAACCTGTGTGTTTGTGCTTTCTTTGTTCTTTACCAGCTGGAAAGCCTGGCTGGACTCCTCTAAACCGTGACACGTGGGGTGAAGGGGATTAGCAGCTTTTCTTAAGGTGGACTGTTAACTTTTGAGTCTAGCGCAACACATGTCGCTTTCACACTAGCTTGCCAGAGCATCGAATTGAGAGTACATCTGAGCCCCACGCCATATATCCACGTGTTAATATTTTAAATCTCAAAGCGTAATCCTAACTACCGGCCTGTAATTTATAGACACGTGACGTATGTACGGCTCTTCAAAAGTACGTGTCGAATAATTGTTGGCGGCATTCACGAACGGTATGGCGCATTATCAGTTTAGCAGAAGGTCGCCGGTGGATTTATATTCCCGACAGCCGCCGGCGACGTTTTAAACAAAGCGACCACTTCGTCCAATTAAAGGTTCATTCACATGGGCTCTCAAGGTGCATTCACGCTGCGATGGCGTTTCCGGCATATGTCATCGTATGGCATATGTCGATTCCGGAAGGTCGCGTTTCGAGTTTGCGGCACGCCGGCTTGAGTGATTGCCCGTGATCATGTCACCGGCTCCGTCGTCTCTACTTGGTGAGAAAAACCCAAAACTGGTAACACTTGCGAAGAATATGATAGACAAACATAAGGTATTCATATTATGATATAATATTCATCTAGGCCTCTCGCTAGACTTAGTTCGACTGCTGGTCCTGCGTACGATGCACTGGCGGGTTTAATCATATTATTACAGAAGTTTTGGAACAACTTCAACTTACAACTTCAACATATATACTTCTCTTAAACCTTAGACTTGCAAGAAAAGCTCCAATTTCCCATTATATTTTTTCTTCCATTCGCACACATTCTGAAAACTTAATCAACACCCTTCCTACCAAACTTACAAGCCATATATATAATTCGTATGAAGCTAACACTTATCGATTATGTTAAGCTTTCCGACACACACAAACTAATGATAAGGTTTAAGCAACTAAATCATGCAAATACACCTCTTGGTTTCAGCCACTAACCCTGCATATTGTTCTTCATCCATGCAGAAAATATCTGCATACAATGGAATCTCCTAGAGATTTACATGTTAGTTAATGAACAAAATAGGACATATTTATTTCACGAATAGATTTCAGCTACAAATTAATATAGATAAAAATTTATGGATACCTAATTTGTGTATATAATATCAGATATGCAGTTATTAATAATTAAAATTCTCTCACTGCACACATTTATCAATCAATGAAATGTGTACAGTTTTTTTAAGAACTAACTTTAAAATGTTTCATCACAAGAAATTCATTAAAGAAGATTGTATTTCCTAATCTTAATTTATTTAAATAAATCAAGATGTTCTTCTTTAAATATTTCAAAAATAGAAAAAAAAATGAAGCTACTAACGTTCATAAAATATTTTCATACCATTTTATATAGAATTGACAATTAAATATTTCGATTAAGTGTGTTATTAATTATTTTCAATATTTTATTCATTTTTCATAACAAAATAATCAACTTCATCTAGCT